CGTCCCCAGGCCCCCCCCAGCCGGCGGCGGCCCTGGGGCCTCCCAGCACGTCCTGCTGCTCACCGGTGTCCCCGGCGGCCTGCCGGCGTGCCCTGTGGTCCCGCCCACCATATCCCACTGTGCCCTCCCAGTATGCCCCAGTGCCCCCCAGTACCTTCCTGTGTTTCCCAGTGAGCCGCACTATTTATGCCTCCAGTACCTCCCGTTGCACCTCAGTGCCTCCCGCTGTGTCTTGCTGCCCCCCGGTGATTCCCAGAACATCCCACTAAGCTCCCAGTCCATCCCAGTATGCCCTGCTGCCTCCCAGTATGTCCCACTGCCTTTAGTCCACCCCAGTGTGTCCAGGTGCATCCTACCGCCCGCTCCCCCAGTCCATCCCAGCACCTCCTGATATGTCTTCTTTCCCCTTCAGTGACTCCCAGTCCATCCCAGTGCCTCTCAGTCCACCCCAGTTCCTCCTGATACCTCCTACTGCCCCTCCCAGTCCATCCCAGTGCCTCTCAGCCTATGCCAGTGCCTCCCGATACGTTCTACTATCCCCCCAGTGACTCCTAGTACATCCTACTGCCTTCCACTACTCTGTCCTAGTCCAATATCTCCCCCAGAGCTTCTCAGTCCACCTAAATGCTTCCCTGTAAGTCCTACTGCCTCCTCCCAGTGCATCCCACTACCTCTCAGTCCACCCCAGTGCCTCCCAGTGTGTCCTACTGCTCCCTTCCACTGCCACCCAGCGTGTCCAGGCACCCCCCAGCGCCTGGTCCCTGCTCCACAGCTGTCACCCCCCCCGCCCAGGGGTGCCAGGGCAGCTCCTGCACCACCCACGGCCCCGGTAAAGCCTCGAGTGAGGCCACGACTGCCGCTTCTCCAGCGCGCGCCCAGCATGGCAAGGTCCGAAGGGCCGCAGCTCTTCCCCGTCCCGACCAAACTTCCTTCTTGTTTGCAGGCGGACGACTTCATCCGAGCGAACGCCTGCAATAAATTGACCGTCATCGCCGAGCAGATCCGGTACTTGCAGGAGCAGGCTTGGAAGGTGAGGCCGTGTCCGCGAGCTGGGTGGAAGGGTCGTTGCCTTGTGCTTGCGAGGGGAGGGAGATGAGCGTCCCTCTTAACTGCCAGACCTTTGGGATGAGCTGCGGCCTGGATGTGAATCGTGGCCAGGAGCCAAGTAGAGAAGATTTCAGTGGGAAGATAAGGAGGGTTTATTGTCTGGTATCAGCTGGGGATGGGGGAGGGTTGGTTTTGGTGCTTTCCCTCTGAGTCCTCTGCACAGCAGGGAGGCCGTCTGTTAAGGCGGAGGAGCGAGGGCGGCTAGTCAAAAGCAGCTCAGGTGTCAGGAAGGACAGAGAGATGACTCTGGTTTGGGGACAGGTGACTCCTGTCACCGTAGCGTGTGTGCTGTGCTCCCGGGAGGACTCGGCGCAGCGGGGTGACGACGTGGCCCTGGCTGGATCTGAGCCCTTGGGAGAAGATGAGCTGTTACCTGACGATGGGCTTGGCTTTCCAGCTCGTCCCAGCTCATTTGCTGGAGCGGGTGGCTCCGGCAGCAAGCCCAGCGGGGCTGGGCTGTCCAATTCAATTCAGACTTCACCCTTGGGGGTGAAATCTCAGAGCCGGAGTGGGAAAGGATCTGCCAGTCACTGCGACTGGCCCACTGCCATCAAGGCCACTACGTCATATAATCGTTAACTGGTGGAGCTGGAGCTGTGCAGCAGTCAGCTGGTGGAGCTGGGGAGACAACAGCCCCTTTGTTTGCTGTCCCTTCCCTTGGGGACCGCAGCAGGGAAGCCCCCAGGGTCCGGCAGCTGTGTACAGAGACGAGGACCGAGTCCAGCATGTGGTGGGGTCAGGCACAGAGGTGAACCTGGGGCTGTGGTGAAGAGGTCCTTGATGCTTGGAGGTATCTGCACCTCCGTGGAGGGGTGCAGGAGCTCTGAGGTCCAGCTGACAGGGGAAACTTGGAGAAAACTTTATCCCTTTGGAAAGCCTCTCCTTCCTGGGACAAGTAAAGATGTGCCGCGTGAAGCCAGACACGTGCCAGGGAGGATGAGGCCTCGCGGGTGGTGTGTCAAGTGATGTATCTCGGGCTCTGGCTGAGAGGCAATAGCGTGCTGTCATTTTATTTCAAGTGTGGAAATTTTAAATTTGTTTTTTTAGGTCTTGGATGAAGCTAATAGAGATGCTGATCTGCACCACGTGGCCTGCAACCTCGTGAAGAAGCCAGGAAACATTTACTACATGTACAGGCGGGAGAGTGGCCAGCGATACTTCTCCATCCTGTCTCCCAAGGTGGGTGGTAACAGCCCCTGAGGAAGCAGGGAGGGAAAAAAAACACATTTCTGATGCTTGGGCACTTCTGGACCTCAGACCAAAGCACCAACTTTGTGGCGGCATTTGTTGGCTCCTCCTCAGTTGGCGTTTGTCCTTGGTCTGCTGGTGTAAGAGCCATCTTATGAAGTTCTCTTAGCTCTTGGTGGATGGCGGGCAAGAAGACCTTTGGTGCGTGGACCTGAATTCTGCCTTTTGGTCCCTGCAGTTCTTTCTCTGGAAGCAAAGAACTGCAAAGATGCCCTGGGCCTTCCCTGTCCAGTGTGGCTGTCTGGCGGCACGGTCTTCTCAGGGGCTTCAGTCCAGGGAGTGAGTTTGTCTGCAGGTTGGTAGGGGTGCTCTTGGAGGTATCTTCCTCCCAGGCCACCTCTTTTCTTAGGTGCAGGGTGAAGGCTTCAGAGCAAAGCACCGAGCATGCAGAGGTGCTCTGTGCAGGTCGGGGAGATCTTCTGTCCTCAAGCCTCCCTGCGTCAGCAGTGCTGTAGCTTGACCTGGTCTTAGAGTAGTTGAGCCTATTCTTAGGTTAGAAAATGGGTTGGTCACGTCGTTGGGACTGCTCCAAAGGTGGTAGGGCTATCCGGGATGGGCAGAGGTTGGGCTGAGGGACAGCCCAGCCCAGCTCCAAGGGGAAATGAGCAGCGACGTGAATCTCTCTTTTCAGGAATGGGGGACCAGTCCCCACGAATTTCTCGGTGCCTATAAACTCCAGCACGACATGTCCTGGACTCCGTTTGAGGACATTGAGAGACGAGATGCTGAAATAAACATCCTGGATAAGCTGCTGAGCCGGCAGGCAGCGCTGCCCCCGTGTACGGAGCCCAACTTCCAGGGCCTCACCAAGTGACACAAGTGACCACGCGGGAGCCCCTGCGCAGAGACCCTGTGTGAGGACACGCAGTGCCTGCGCGCTGCCAAAGGCAGAGCGAGGAAAGAGACCAAGAAACAAAAATGCTGATGCCACCGGTACTTTCTCTGTGCTTTAACGAGACTAATTCTGCATTCAGTCTTACTGGATTTTCTAGTAATTGAGTAATTTATTTCTTTGACTGATGCCAAGCTGTAGCGAGAGGCAGATGATATCAGGTGGAGTCAATTCCAAGAGGGCTTGGGGCAAAAAGCAAAAATGCTTGGGGCAGATGTGATAATGCTATAAAATATGTCCTACCTGTCCGGCTCTGGCGTACCTCACTGTGACGACCTGCGGCAGGTAAGGAGTTCAGGGCTGGATTTTGCCCCTCGTTAAAACGCCGATATTCAGGAAGCTCTGTGGCCTGGGAAGAGCG